CATCAGTTTCTTCGCTGCAATCTCGCCCAATTCTGTAGCTCTATGAGTTTTACATGCTCCAAGCAAAGAACACCAAGCGAATGCACTTGGCTCGAATGGCATTTTGTGAATGAATTCTTCAGCTTCTTTGAGCTTACCAGCTCGCCCTAGCAAATCTATGACATGAGAGTAGTGTTCTTGTCTCGGTTCAATGCCATAAATTTTGAGCATTGAATCAAAGTACTCCAATCCCTCATCTACTAGTCCTGAATGGCTACAAGCCCTCAGAAGGTTGAAAAATGTGATATTGTCTGGTTTAATTTCTTTCAATACCATTTGTTTAAACATTTGTAGAGCTTCTTTTCCTTGCCCGTGTTGTGCAAGCACACCTATAATCGAATTCCAAGCAAAAACATCTGGGTTCTTGATCTTTTCAAACATTTGAACGGAAGAACTAAGAAGCCCACATTTGCCATACATATCAACAAGAGCTGTCAAAACAAAAGAATCAAAAGCAAAGCTAGTTTTGATGATTTGCGCATGGAGTTGAGCCCCTTGTTCTAGCATTGCTTGGCCTGAACATCCCTTAATCAAGCTCGAAAATGTGAACTCATTAGGCTCAATTTCATGTCTCCTAGCCTCGACAAATATCATTAAAGCCTCGTTAGTCTGCTCTTTTTCGATATACCCATCAATCAAAGAACTGCAGGAAATCACATTCCAAACCATCGAATCCAAATGTGCCACATTCAACGCGCTCTCCATGTCACCATTCTTCGAGTACATATCAACAAGAGCATTACCAATTACTCCCTCACAACCAAGCGCTCTCCATGTCACCATTCTTCGAGTACATATCAACAAGAGCATTACCAATTACTCCCTCACAACCAAAACCCATTTTCAATACTAGACAATGAACACATATCAACAAGAGCATTACCAATTACTCCCTCACAACCAAAACCCATTTTCAATACTAGACAATGAACAGATCTCCCTTGCTTACAAGCCTTTAGTCCTCCACAAGCACTAAGAACACTACAAAAGACATGCTGATCAACTATGGTATCCCCTTCTCTCATCAAATCCTTAAAAGCGACAAGTGCTTTATCCAAATCACCATGCTTAGCATACCCATCAATCATCGAAGTCCATGACACCTCATCTTTAAACGGCATTTCCTCAAACACCCTATAAGCATCAACCAAGCACCCACATTTCGAGTACATATCAGCAAGATTACTCCCTACAAACAACTCAACGTCAAAACCCAACTTCAAACTCAAACAATGCAACTCCCTTCCAAACCTCACCTCTCCCAACGCCGCCACCGCCTGAATGGAACTCGAAAGCGCGAATTGGGTCGGTCTAAAACTGCACGAATGCATCAAAGAAAAAGTTTGCAGAGCTTCGGAGAAGTTTCTGTTTTGGGAGAGGCCGGAGATTAGAGCGGTCCAAGTGATGAGGTTTCGTTGAGGCATTTCATCAAACAGGGAGATGGCAGCGGTGATATCACCGCATTTGGCGTACATGTTGAGGAGGTGGTTGGAGATGAAGGTGGAGGGGATGCCGCCGGCGGCGATGAGATGGGCATGGAGCTGTTTGCCATTCCGGAGATTGGAGGAGAGGGTGTAGGATTTGATGAGTTGAGCTAAGATTGAGGGATCTTTGAGTTTGAGCATAGGAGGACGAGGGAAAAAAAAATCGAAAAAGAGAGGAAAAAAAACAACTAAAAGGTGAGTTTGGGATGAGGTTTGAATGTTGGAGATTTGGAGGGAAATTGTAAACGCGTCACTATCGCGGGTCGGGTTAAGATCCGATTTCGAGGATTTAAAATTAGTTTGATGAGCTCGATGCGTAGACGCTGTGCATAAAAACGTCCCAAGTTCGACAAGAATTTGTTTAATGTGACAAATACGATTGGATTATACGACTCAATTAAAAGTTAATCATCGAGTCAATTTTGTGTCAATTTTGAAATTTGAACCCATCAAAATTTGAATTAGAGCTCACGGCTTGACTTGTACTTCGGTTTTTGCATGCTCCGTTTGCTTCAAAGCTCTGTTAGTTATGAATTAGAGCTCAAGATGGAGTACGTATGGAAAAATACAATAACGATACGATTAAAACATACGCGAGGCTAAAATAGGAATCATTTCTCCTGAGTAATTAAATTTGGATTCAAATAGAGTAAAACAGTGTGCCCCTGCATCACTAAATTTCCCTGGTTGGCCATGAACGCTTTGTAATTGACTTTGTAAGTTTGCACCATACAAATCTCCCACAAAAAGGGCAAATCCCCATAATTTAGCAGATGGGGCCTTAGTGACATGACAGTGGTCTTTGGACCAAATGGATGAAATAGTACGTAGACATAAATAGGAGAGGATACATTATTATATCACCAAAATATCCAGTTTGTCCCATTCCCACACATCTTTAATTTGCTATCAACGTAAAGGACAAGAGAGCAGACACTTGAATAATCTTTACTAAATCTTTAAATTTCATAAAGTTTGGTTTTTTTTTTGTTGCATTTTGGTTCCAAATTCAGGAAAGAGCCCGCTCATTTTGATCGAACCGTAAGTTGTGGCTTCAGTTGTTCCCTGAAACTCTCTCATCTTCCTTTTCAATGTAAAGTTCTCTTCCGGATAACATGTAAGAAATTATAACTCTCCTTGCTCATAATTCAAGTTCAGATCTTACCGTCCATAAATTTCTAAGGTAGATTAAAAAAAGCCCCCGATTTTTTATATATGTACTCTTTGTGAGCTATATGAAGGGATTTTTGAGAGGTTGCTAGTCCAATGTTTTGGCCCATGGAAAACATGTTCAATTCAGGGACGTGTGAGCTATAAATTCTTTGAATGCATCAATCTTCTATTATATCTTAGTGTAAATAATCATGTGTATGATGCAGGTGCTTGTTTCAGCCAGTGAAACTTTGAATGGTCAAAAACCCATATGAAGGAATCGATATGAAGCATTAAATGTTGATGTAAACACCACATGCATGCACAGGGTCTACACACATCCAAATCTAATGGCTCCCACAAACCAGTGTAGTCAATTCAATATTTCACTACATTTTGCGCACAATACTAGAAAATCCAATAAATAAATTAAAAAAAACCCCTCTCTTCTCACTGGCTCAAACCCTCACATATCAATTCTCATCGATCCCTCATTCTAGGGTCTCTTTTAAAATGAAGCATCCACAGCACAGAGCCAACCACACAAAAAAGCATGAATGAATCGAAAACTACACAACCTATACAAAGCTACGTACACTTCACATTCACCACTTGAATCCAAACTCCCCTACGTGTTCTCAAGCCTCCCATTCCTTTACCCCTCTCCTGTTATTTCTTCAACACCCTCTCTCTCTCTCTCTCCTTCTTTAATTTTCTACTGCCATGGCCTCTCAACCTGTGCCAAAGAAGCCAAGGCTTGACCGAAATCTTGACTGTAGGCCGAGATCGGAGGCGAAGGAAGTGAAGGTCAGCCAGGAGGAGTCGGCGAGGGAGAGATTGAAGAGGCATAGTAAGGAGATGGCGGGACGAGTATGGATACCGGACATATGGGGACAGGAGAGCTTGTTGAAGGATTGGGTTGACTGCGCCGCGTTCGACAGGTCGCTTATGCCTAAAGAGGTGGTTTCGGCGAGGCAAGCTCTGGTGGAGGAGAGCAGGAGGAATTCCATTGAGAACCAGTGCTAAGATTAATTTCTTGCAGATTTGTGTTTGTTTGATTTATACATATATATAAGAACAATATACTACTTTGGTGTTTTTAAATTAAAACTGGAAGTTTATTTGTTTAGGTATGGTGTGTGTGCATGGTGCTGGGTGATTGTGTGCTTGATTTGAACGTAACAGTGTGTGCTCCATGAGTGGATTTGGCTGTCTCTTTACAATGAAGCTTCTTGAGATTTTGGATGTATTTATGTTTGATAACTATTGAGGAGTGTGCTTTAATTGTTTATGATTGTCAAAATAATTCTGTGCCACTAAAATATGCATATATATTGACAGACAATATTGCACATTATCGAGATCCTTTGTCAGCGACGAGTGCTCAGAATAGGTAGTGTACAGTTTTAATGGAATTTCAAATTTATTACTTACTAACTTTCATTTACTTATTGGTATGATGCAAGTCCCTTTTTTTGTCCTTTCGAGAATTTATTAAATTATATCCCATGAGTTTGCACATATCAACCGATCCCCTAAACTTATACCCTCTGAAAAAAAATTATCTCTGAAGTTTTCAGTGCAAATCCTTCTCTCTCTTGCTAATTAATTGTGGACCATATCAGATATTTGCTGCAAAAGTACGGAGTTAAGAGATTTAATATATAATACCTATACTAAATTTTGTCTAATTTGATTGCGCAAAAATATTTAAAAAAAAAACCCAATGTATTTGCATCAACGAAATAGTGGATTTTTTTTCAAAAGAAAAGAATGTTAGTTCCTCCTAAATTTTCTGATTTTATACCTATAGTATATGAACAACCTCATTTTGATGGGGTGTACACAAGTTTAGTATACTAATGATGAAAATTCTGAATGATACGTACGTTATATACGCATCCACCTCCAATAGAATTAAGGACCATTTGTTCCCTCTTACTCTAGCTTCAAAATTTTCTGATTGTTAACGTGACAGCTAAATTATCAGGTAGAAATTAAGTAGGGAATTGCATTCGCATTTTGTGATGGTTTATACGACATCAGAGTTTATGCGCTTTCCAGTGTTTTCGCCAAAAGTCGAATTTGTTGTCGAATTCATTATATCTTCGGTCGATTACAATAAATTCAAAGAAAACAGCCTTTTTATAAGACTCTTTTACACAACAAAAAGAAAATTACAACTCTTGAGAAAATAAACGCAGGATCGTTGTTTGGATCACTGCTTTCGTGGGATCTTTGCCTGTGCCGGGAGCGCTTTGACTCGTGGACCACCAAATCACAGATTCTGATTGAACCGTGAGGGTTTTATGATTCTGACTTCGTTTATCGAAGTGAGAAATTGAAACGATATCTTATCGATGTAAGATAGTCGTTCTTCTTGAAATCAAGTCAAAGCTCAATTTCAAGGATTGGCCGTAAGATCAGCACCTCTGCTCTCTCTCTGCCCTGGATTGCTCTGGATTGCTCTGAAGTACTCACAATGATCAGCCTCTCTTTGAAGAATGGCCTTCGGGGGGTATATATAGCCTCTAGGAACAGTTAGCAGAAAACAGGATCGCGAGACAGCATTTGCTGTCTCGGCGGGCGAGACAGTGTTTGCTGTCTCGGCCCGCGAGACAGTAAATTTGCTGTCTCGCCCAGCGAGACAGTAAAATACTGTCTACATTTCTGGCAGTTTTCGATGTAACTGCTTTCCCACGTTTCAAACTCCGTTATTCTGGCAGTTATTCACTTGATTCTCGCCCACGACGTTTCCCACGTTCTTGAACAGTTAGTGGCCACGTGTAGGGCAGTTACAAAGGTAGTTTTGACCATCTGAAAGCTGTCTCACGTGCGAGACAGTAAATTCTGTCTCGCACGGCGAGACAGCAAAGACTGTCTCGCGTGGGCGAGACAGTAAAAGTCTGTCTCGCCCGCGAGACAGTAAAGACTGTCTCGCGAATTTGTGGACCTCTCGTTCATGGAACGAATCGAGAGGGGATTTTGGCTTTGGTCCTAACTGTTTAAAGGTTTGACCAAGATGGGAATTTGAGACGATCCTAACTGTTTAAAGGTTTGATCGTTCAATTTGTGGACCTCTCGTTCATGGAACGAATCGAGAGGGGATTTTGGCTTTGGTCCTAACTGTTTAAAGGTTTGACCAAAATGGGAATTTGAGACGATCCTAACTGTTTAAAGGTTTGATCGTTCAATTTGTGGACCTCTCGTTCATGGAACGAATCGAGAGGGGATTTTGGCTTTGGTCCTAACTGTTTAAAGGTTTGACCAAATGGGAATTTGAGACGATCCTAACTGTTTAAAGGTTTGATCGTTCAATTTGTGGACCTCTCGTTCATGGAACGAATCGAGAGGGGATTTTGGCTTTGGTCCTAACTGTTTAAAGGTTTGACCAAATGGGAATTTGAGACGATCCTAACTGTTTAAAGGTTTGATCGTTCAATTTGTGGACCTCTCGTTCATGGAACGAATCGAGAGGGGATTTTGGCTTTGGTCCTAACTGTTTAAAGGTTTGACCAAATGGGAATTTGAGACGATCCTAACTGTTTAAAGGTTTGATCGTTCAATTTGTGGACCTCTCGTTCATGGAACGAATCGAGAGGGGATTTTGGTTTTGGTCCTAACTGTTTAAAGGTTTGACCAAATGGGTATTTAAGACGATCCTAACTGTTTAAAGGTTTGATCGTTCAATTTGTGGACCTCTCGTTCATGGAACGAATCGAGAGGGGATTTTGGCTTCGGTCCTAACTGTTTAAAGGTTTGACCAAATGGGTTTTGTGAGGGAAGATTGATCTAACGAAGTGATCGAATCTCATCTCAGCAAAAGAGTGTTCGAAAATCATAATAGGAGCTTAGTATTTATCATTCTGTCCATAATAATCGGGTTATCCCTAAGAATATTATATTTAACATTCTTCCAGGAACTTCCCATTACATGAATTATCGACCCCCAGCTTTCTTTGTAAAACTGGGTATAACGAGGAGTACGTTAACCTCAGTCATATGTTCGGGTTATCCTTAAGAATATAGGATTCTCCAGGAACTTCCCGTTAAGGAAAGGAAATAGTTTAGACTCATATACCTTTTGGAGTATCGAGGAGCAGTTTATACTCGTATACTTTTCGGAGTGAGGGGAAACAGTTTATACTCGTGTACCCAATGGAGTTGGGGAAAACAGTTTATACTCGTGTATCCGATGGAGTAATATGGTCGTCTTTACTCGACTTCTTTGGCCGTTATGACGCCGGAGTCAATTAAGGCTTGGATTTTGTTTTTGAGTCCAAAGCAAATTTCGGTGGGATGAAGAATCCTTCTGTGGTACGCACAGTAATTTGGATCCGTAATCATCTTAGCTCCATCCTGATCTTTAATAGGTGGTAGCTCGATTTTGTCATTAGCGAGGAGGTATTCCAATATGGCTGGAGCTTCATCCTCTTCGAATGAATATTCTTTTTGAAACTTCGGATCGAAAGTTGCGTTCCCAATGATTGCAGATGTCATTTGTTGGCCTTTCTCAGCTTCCTTTCTTTTAAGAAAGTGTTCAGCTTGTTCGCCACGAAATTTTAACTCCTTCCAAGTTGTGGACGGCTCAACCCCCAAAGCTTCCAAGACATCGATGGAGAGGTTATTGTGGCATGTTTGCAGGATGAACTCCTCTGTAATAGGATCTCTGCAATTCATCGCCATGTTACGGAAACGCTTGACAAAATTGTCGACTGACTCTCCGTCTTTTTGCTTCTCATCCAAAAGGATTCCGATTGACACTTCGGTGTCATCATCGAAGAAGTTGCTGAGGAACAAACTTTCCATGTCATCCCAGCAATTGATGCTCCCTGGCTTGAGCCGTCGGTACCAATCGAAGGCGGGCCCACGAAGGGTGCCAACGAATGACCGGATCATTAAGGCCTCGTTTCCAGAGATTATGCCCAAATGAGACTTGAAATAAATCAAGTGTTGAATCGGCGAACTCTTCCCTTCAAACGGTGTGAAGTTAATCAGATTGAATTTGGTCGGGTATGGTATTGAATCCCATTCCCTCGGATAAGGACATGGAATACCCGTCTTCTTAACTTCTTGAGCCGTCATCAAAGCATTGATTTTGTCTTCAAGTTTTTGCATTTTCCCGTCATCGTCTTCATTTCTTTCTGAATGATGTCGAGTAAAGATAATTGGACCACCCCCAGTGAGAGGTGCTATTGAACCACCCCCAATATCGTTATTGGGAGGATCCGTTAAACCACCCCCAGCGTTATTGCCATTGGGAGGTGTATCAGCCATAATGACTTCATCCACCTCTGGATCACTGTCATCTACAACATTCCGAGTGTGGTGGCTGGATTCAAATCGCTGATTGGACTCAGGAGGTTGAGGCTGTTGAGTTAACAGTTCTCTCATTTGTTGGATAGCCAACTTCATTTCTGTCTTCACTTCAGCTCTAATTTCTTCACGTTGTTTGGCTAGAGCTTCCTGAAGTATTTGAGTGAACTGATCAGCAGTGATTGTGAATACTTCTCTGATTTGTCCTGTGCTAGACATTGTATCATCAGAAGCGATTGCAGAATAAGTGTCCGAGAATTCATCCTCCGAGGACATTCCTTCTTGCATTCTCTTGTAGTCTCTGCGTCTGATAGCTCCTAATTGGAGTCGAGACATCCTTTGAGCAATTCTTGGATTGACTTTTCCTTTCGGGGAAAAGTCGGGATTTGAGTCACTTGAATGCTGTTTAGACTTTCTTCTATCAGCCACGTTGATGGTGACTTCAGGGAATTCATCATTTTGGACAGCTGCTCTTCTTTTGCGGAAATGTCTCGGCTTAGGTTTCGATAATACAGAGACTTTTCGTGGGATGACTTCTCGTTTGAAACAGTCACATTCTGATAATGCTGTTTTAACGAGTCGCGCACAGGAACAACGAGAGTTTATCTCTCGAATAACTCTCTTTCGAAAATTATTCACAACTTCAACTTGATAATACGATTCATCGGTATGATTGCCAAAAAATCGTATCGTCTGTTGGTATGATCTCCCAGGTATGACGATATCATTTGGTGAATGCGTCTTCTTCTGGGGGTATAAAACCTTGTTGGCATTCTCAGGACAATTTATTTTTGTTTTTGAGCGATCCAAGGTTATGTTGGGAGTCGCACGTCTGAAACCACCCATTTGCGGGTATGGGGTCTTAACGGGCTCCGAATGCTGATTTTGCATAAGTCCAGACTTTGGAATCCAAACTTGACGAAGTTTTGGTGATTCTTTGGTCACCATTTCCTTTCTCTTTTCTCGTCTTTGTTG